TAGATAGACTCTTTTATCAGTTTCATGTGTTACAATATCTCCCACTCTGACTCATCTTGTCATTTTGTTAATGGCTTCTTTTGAGAAATAGAAGCCTCTAATTTCAAGGTAATACAGCTTAAGCATTTTTTTGGACTTTTTTATCTTTTTAAAGAAATCTTTTCCTACCTTGAGATCATGTATTTTCCTGTTATCGTCTAGAAGCCTTATTGTTTTATGATTCATTCACACTTACATGAATAATCCACCCTGAGTTATTCTTTATGTATGTTGTATGGGTAAATTTCTATTTCTCTCCAAACAAATACCTATTTGTGCCAACATCTTTCATCAAATTGCCTTTTCTCCAATGCTCTACAGAGTCACTGAAGTCGTTAATCAAGTTTTTTTGTATGCATAGTCATTTTCTAGACTGTCAATTCTATTTTATTGATATATTTGTCTATTTTTCTGCCAAACTACATTATCTTAATTGCCATTACTTTACAATAAGGCTTGATTTTTAGTGGAACAAATTTCCCCACTTTGTTGTTCTTTATGAATATCTTGATTATCCTTAACTTTTTATTTTTCTATTTAAACTTTAGAATTGTCTTCACAATTTTTGCAAGAAACCTGCTGAGATTTTAATTAAGATTCAATGACTTGATAAGCCAAGCTGACAAAAAACTGATATCTTTATTAAGTTTTTTAATCCCTGCAAAAAGTCTTGTTTATCTCTTTAAATTTATTCCTAGATATATTACATGCTTGATGTCATTATAAATGATATCTGTGGTAGGCAAGACGGCCCACAAAAGATATCCACAACCTTGAAAAATGTGACTATATAATTTTACCTGGCAAAAGGATATTTGCAGATGTAATTAATGTTGCAGACATTCAGATAGAAAGATTATCCTGGATTGTCTGGGTAGTCCCAAACTAATCACATGAGCTCTTAAAAACAACGAAATTTCTCTGGCTAGAGCTAGAGAGGTGCAATTGACATATAACATTACATTAGTTTCAAATGTACAACATAATAATTGGATATATGTATAATTATGAAATGATCACCAGAACATGTCTAGGTAACACCCATCACCATAATAGTTACAGTTTTTTTTCTTGTGATGAGAATGTTGAGAAACTTTCAAATATACAATACAGTATTATTAACTATAGTCGCCGTGCTGCACATTCCGTACGTCTCGATGGCTGTTTATTTTATAACTGGAAGTTTGTACCTTTCGATTACCTTCACCCATTTCACTCATTCCCACCCCCACTTTGGGCAACCAGTAATCTGTTCTCTGTATCCATGAGTTTGTTTTTTGGTTTTGGGTTTTTTTTAAGATTCCACATATAAGTGAGATCATCTGGTATTTGTCTTTCTCTGTCTGATTTATTTCATTTAGCATAATAGAGAATTACTCTTTGAGAAAACTGACCCATATAAAAGACCTAAAAATATTGAAAATAAGAAGATATGAACAGTCTCTACCTGAACATCCACAGTGATGTCCACTGTCCCAGACACACAGCTTCCCACTGCTAACGCTCACATACTAACAGACACTTAAGGATCGTAAGCTATCCAGCTAGCTCTCTAAAAAATAGACACCAGAGCAAGCACAGATAAGAGGAAGTTTACACTAATACTGATGACAAAGCACCAAAAAAATTTAATAATTTTATAATTAATAACCTTGAAGAAGAAAAGTAGAGATAAAAAATGAATCACTTAAAAAGAGTGAACTGAGAAAAAAATTAAAGAACAAGAAAGCATGCTTGGGAATTAAACTTATGATAAAATAAATTAAGAAAAACAAATCCTATAACACAGTGAGGGTAAAACTCGAGAAACTGTTCTAGCTAGTTGAATCAAAAGAGAAAGACTGAAAAATAAGAATAAGTAAAATGGTAGTAGAATATCAACCCAAGAACACCAATATCTCGCTAAAAAAAATGCCATAAAAAAGGCATTAGAATAAAAACTGAAAGAAAATTATGAAAGAAATACGAAAAGAATTTTTTTCAGCCATTATGAGTATATTTCCATTTAAAACGTCCCACTGAATGCCCAAGAGAAAGGGTGAAAAAAGCACACCTCACTATGGAATTTCAGAATTCAAGAAATAAATCAAAGATTCTTAAAGTTTCCAGAAAGAAAAATTAGGCCCCAGGCACAGGATCAGAAATTGGAATAATACTGTATGTTTTAATAACAATTATATCATCTGACAGAAAGTGCCACTAAAATTAAGAGAAAATAAGATTACCAATCTTAACTTTTACATTCAGTCAAAACTGTATTTCAGTTCACAAATATAATGAAAGCCCATTTCAGATTAAATAATGAAAACTGTAGCCTCTCTCTCTTTTTCCTTCAGTCTCTTATAATCGTGTCTTTTAGACAAAAACCTTCTGCCCCTAATATGAACAACTGTCTGTGTTCAGTAAATGTCTCTGAGTTATTTTTGACATCACTTACTACTTAGAGAATATTGGTTTCCTCTACTTTAGCTTAAACATCAATTTCTTTATGTGAATTTCAAGTTAATGATTCCATGGTTCTTGTAAGCTAAAATATTTCTCTTTATTTTAGGCCATATTTCCTCTTTTTTTGTAACTGTCTGACACTCTTATTTGCAAAACTTCCCTTTTCTTAGACTCTTTTCTAAATGTGGTTAGTTACTTACCATACTATATTGTCTATTCTGTGTCTTTGACATTTTAGCACTATTGACTTTTAATCTTTTATTGTGCGGCTGTGTCTTATTTTCCAGCATTGTGCTTTAATGATGTTGGTGGGGAAAGGGACTTTTCAAAATTCTTAAGAATGCATACGATTTACTATTGACCATTCTTTCTTAAGCATTATTATTTTTAGTCCTTTTTCTAAACACAAAAATGCCTCTTTGTAAGAGGAGGTAATCAAGAGGACCTGACCGCTGGTTGACCCTCAAGCTTCACCTGGTTAATTGCAGGTTCCTCACCCTCATCTTCTGCCCTGGGAATGTACGCTCTGCCTATACTGTTCCACAGTGGGTGCTGTTCCAACCACACAGACTTGAGAGAGCAAGGTGTTGTTGAGACCATCTGGGCTGAATCAATGATGAACCCAGTTAAGGTCTTTATATAAACTTTTAAGTTCCTGGTGGACAGGTCCAAAAACCTCCTCGTCTTTCAGCTACCCAAGATAAGTCTTGTAAGTAAGTTCCTTCGCTTACTAAATCTGCCACCTACCAATCTGGAGTGGTCTGCCTCTTCCTTCAGTCTCTCCTTGTTCTCTGTGTACAGGGACCAGTTTGTCAACTAATAGCTGGTGAACCAGCCAGGAGACCAAAGAAATGAACCCTAGAAAAGAGGCATCCCCAGGAGAAGCCCCCAACCGGTCATCAACCTCTATGTGGGGAAGGGTGGCCCATATGTTAGATATTTATGGACTGCCACATGAGTACAGGGATACCCCGAAAACACCAGATGCGCTAATGCACTTATTTGAGTGACTGTGCAGAACACACTGTAGCTAAGAAGGAAACGCATGATGGCCACAGTGGTCTGGCTTTTTGTTGTGGGCAGTTCAGCTGGCTGCTGATACCCAACTAGAGGCTAAAGCTCAAACCAGAAAGTTGCAAGAAGAGCTGAGGTTAGAGAAGGATGTGTGGGTGTCCACAGGTCTGCTAGTTTCGGGGCTGGCAGACAAGCGAGAGAGCAGGATAAGCTGGAGACCTTAGTGTGCTGCTCTGCAAAGCTGAGAAGGGACACATTGCCATGGATTAAGGTCCAAGAGCTGTGACAAAGACTGATTATAACACTAAGAGGTGGGATCCCTGGGAAAGTAAGGAGAGGGAAGAAGAGGATGCTGTGGTGATTGACAGTGGAATGGTCTAAGTGTCCCATGCCCTCGACCCCTAATGCAAAGGGAAGAAAAGCTCAGCAATAACAACCCCAGCCGGCTGGCCAGCCCCCAATTCAGGAGCCATTCATGATGAGAGTGATATACTCCTGAGCTGATTGATACAGCTGCCAAGTTCTAGCAAAAGGCCAGGGCAAGTGTCCAGGCATGGTTAGGGAGGCTATGGGATGTGGGGAGAAGAGAAATGATAGCATTTTCTGACCTGGAAGGAAACAGAGAAAATGGGCAATGCCATCACACACCCTGCATGGTGCAGCGGGGGAAGGGATTCAAGGTACTTATTTTGTTATAGATTGAATTATTCAGGGAGGCTTGGCCCAGTGAGGGCGTTCCCCCTAGGTACATGGGACTCTAGGAATTTATAGAAGAGATACAACAAATCCTAAGGGAATAAGGGAATAAAGTCACCTCTGCCTCTGTCTTTGAAGGCCTGGATCGGGTCATATTCACTGCAGGAATTAAAGTTAAGATAACTCTAGTCTGCCCCCAAAACCTGGTATGGAACACTAATATCAATGCTGAGCCCATTTGTGGTACAAGCCAGTTATGCTGCTGGGCAATCCATTGAGGATCTGGGAGAAACTGACTAACCCCAGGAATGGGACAGGCTGTAGGAAAGACCTGAGACAGAGCGGGAGCTTGGAAAGCCAAAAGGCCATCCCCATAAAAGGTCTAGTAAAAATAACCCAGAAGCAAATGTGGTTCTTGCTGCGAGGAACCCACATGAACAGACAGACTGACAACCCAACACGGTGTTGTTGGCCTGTGGAAAGTCTTAAAATATGAGCAACAGTTCAGACCTGCCCCATCTGATGCCCTGATGCCCTTCCTGCTCCAACAGAGATCTCAGGGACACAATCCCAAATAAAATCTCTTCTTTTCCTTGACCCTCCTGAATTGCTTTCTACTTTGGAGAAAATGTTGGATGGTTACATTTCTGCCAGACCATCTGTATGCACTAAGAGAGGAAGTGGTTTTTAGAAGAAAATGATGCAATATGATCTATATATATTAAAAGTTAAAAAAGTATTCCAAATTTAAACAAAAAACTAACTGAAGAGCAGGAAACAACTGTACCATTAGTAGTTTTCTTCCATAACATGCAAGTGTTAAAAAATCTATTACCTTGATTGATAACACTGAATACATTACCTTTTTCTCTTATTCATACAGGAAGTACATCATACCTGGGGGAGCAAAAAGAAATCATCTATCTCATTTTACTCAGAAGTTTGTTTTCAGAAATCTGAGACTCCCTTCAGCAAAACATCATTTGTGGTCTTCGCTCCCTTTTTAACATATGCAATGACTGGAGATATAGTCTATGCTGATATCAAAACTGTTAGAACATCCCCTTTAAAACATTCATCTCCACGTCCAAGATCCGGTAAGTTGGATGTAATACTTCTTGTAAAACTAATATTCTTCTTTTAATCTCTTTTATTTCTCTCCTGTGTCTATGTCTTACTGGAAATAGGAAACTGAATTCAAAGTAAAACTTATTGCATGCAAGAATAAGAGTGAATTTTTTAACGAAACAAAATATTCGTAAAGCTAATTGTAACTTTAGTTTTAATATATAGAACTTTGCTTTTGCTTTTCATAGTCTCTATCTTCCTTATATTTCTTCTAGTGAACATTTATGTCACACAGCATTTATGTTCCCTTTTTACTCTACAGCTTTACTTGCCCTTGATCAAATCTAACCTTTTAACATAAGATGATAAATTCATTTACAAAAGAAAATATCCCTGGCAATTATTCACATTGTGATTTATCCTTTTGGAATTTGCATATTGATAGGATAAAAACGTTAAGCTAAGTTAAGGAGACATGAAATGTTAGTATTTTATTGCATAAAGTTTAGAATTAATGACAATCTGAGTAATGAAATATTTTCGGAATATGAACAGTTAGGCATATAGCTAAAGATAACATTGCACTGTAATCACAAACCACCTCAAAAATGATAGATTTTTAAATCCAGTGTATTTTCTATTAGGGAAATTTCTCTAGATCAAGAATTTTTTATATTATAAAGTTTATATAAAACATTTAAATAATTTGTCTCTTCATTGCACTTGCCCTTGCAAAATGAATCTGTTTTGCTTTTTTATGTTTCCAAAGAATGCATTTTTTTTCTTTTATATTTTTAAGTTTTCTATCAAGTGAATCTGATGAGTTTCTTTAGTTGCAGGAGGACGTTATTTCCTATTTTTAAACATTACCTCTCTAACTGAACCAATAGAAGCTTATTTGCTTTCTTTTTTTCCCTAGCCTGGGTGCTTTTATTTTCTGAGATGATGTAATTTACTTTGAAAAATAACATGGACTAGAATTGCATTCTTATTCGTCCACCTCTAAAAAATCTCATGCAAATTAGTCCATTTTTCTAGAGGTTATTTTCACTCAGTTCAAGCAACAAAACCAATATTTTTTATTCTGCTTTTTGGGGTTTGATTTCATTTTCTTTCAAGGATAGAAATTTATTCCTTTCCTGCTTTAAAGGCTTGGGGAAATCTTTAATGCTACCTGGTCCAATATTCTAACATTAAAAATGAGGAAACATGAACATATAAAGTTTGAGTAGTCACTATTTCAGAGCCTCATATGTGTTGAAACCATCTTGCCAATCTCTTAACCTTTGTATTCCAAACACCTCACACTGTACTAGGTGTCTAGAAGGAAATTAGTAGATGCTTGGTAAGTGAATAAAAGTATAAATGGATGAATAAACAAATGATCTTATTAGATAATTAGATACTCTAAAATATTACAAGTTCATTGGTTCTCCAAGATATAAAACAAAGAGGGCTGTCACCATGAGATTTAGCAGAATATCAGTGAAAAAGAAAAAAGAATATAGAGGAAGAATATCAGGGAATATTCCAATGAGAATATCCCAGGCTAAGATTCAGACATCATGTTTTTCTTAAATCTTACTTCACAGGCCTAAAAAAATGACCTAACATCCCTTATGTAAGTTCTTTCATTAAATCTGAAATTTTATTTTATAGGTTTTTAGGTTCCCAACCTCAGTTTTTCATATTAGAAACATGTGTAGAGGTAGCATCACGTTTTTCTTGTGATTGTTGTGACTGGCACAATTTGCATTGTTTTACCTGATAAACATATTGACAGTTCTGTGTTCTGAGAATTAATAAATTCCCTCTAAAAATGTTTTACTTAATAATAATAATGATTTGAACATATAATAAAGCACTCGGTAATAATACTCTACTAAATAAACATTCAGGTTAATTAGTCTTGACACTTCATTTTGTAATTGATTATATTTTAACATCAGTTATTTTAGAACTTTCTCAGCATCGTATGTATGTGTGTGTTAGATATCACATATCTAGTGAAAGTGATATATTGCAATTACTTTGGATTTATTGGTCCCCTTTTTCACAAACTAGAAAAGCAAATATGGTGTGTGTGTGTGTGTGTGTGTGTGTGTGTGTGTGAAAGGAAGCTGGGTCTATTTCAAAAGAAAGTAACTAAGGAGCATAATTGAAAAAGTTTATTCAGCCCTTTCCTACCTCTCCCACCTAAAGAATTATCTACTGGGCTTACTAGTGATATCTGTCCAATTTTATAGATTCTCACCATCATGGAATTGTCCTGAAAGTTGGATACGCAATGACCATAATCCTCCTTGTAATAGTAATTGTGCTTAGCATTTTTGGTAAGTAATTGGCAATACTATTCATTTATCCCAAGGTGTTATTCTCTCGTGACATGTTGTAATTGTGTTTGCTATTCAAGTGGTTCCTAAACAGTACAATTCAACTTCACAAAAAGTGTAAAATTTGAAACACAATTAAAATTAGAGATTTTTCCATAGAATTTCAGCATGTGACATAGTATATATTATAAATTCTGTTCAATAATAAAGAAAAGAGATGTCAAGATTACATTTACATATATTTCATAATCAAGATCACATAATGAATTTCCCAGTGCAGTTTGATAGTGGACTATGCACAAGCTTCTCTAAACTTGCATTCAGATGAAAGCAAATGAAATTAGAAAGTATACATCTATGGAAATTTATTCCTACTAACTACTCTTGGGCATAATCAATCTTGTATCCAAAGGTGAGAAATTTGTTTCAAATTAATCAATTCAAACATCCATTTTAAAATTGTACTCATGTACTTTAGACATAATTGAACATAGTCTAATTATTCAAACAGCAAATACTTCAATATTTTATTGAATGAATGCTTAGAGAAAAGTTATTCATAAATATCTATAGAGCCAAGGTAATATACAGATGGTATATATTCCAAGAAATTCAGACTTTTGGATCAAACTACACCCTGGAACAGGCCAAAGCATATCTGAATCCTTGCCAATGATAGTTATTATGAATGGCATTAGTAATTATAAGTAAATAGGCAGAGTGATAGAATCCTAGAACTGGAAAGAGCTTTAGAAGTCAAGGTCAAATCTCTAGTAGAGATGAACAATCTGAACCCCAAAGGGGTAAATGGTTTGACTATTTTAATATAACTAATCAATGGCCTAATTGAACTATAAAAATAGGGAGGAGGGAATAAAAAATAATTAGCATTAAAACTTTCTATTTCTTGTTAAGTTAAGATCATAGATAAAATAGTATTTTGTTAGTAATAGATACTTGTTTGTTACTAAAATAGATTTAATTGCCTAATACGAACTATTGTGAGATTATAAGTTACAAAAAGTAATTTTAGTTAAATGGCCATCAGAAAGATATCCTCCTCACTGTAGAAAAAGGGCTTACCCTACCTTCTATTTGAAGCCTTTACATGCAGAATCTCGAAAGGAGCAGAATCATGAACTGAAACCAAAACATAAAAACCCCTGTAAAAAAAAACGACCCTTTCCATGAATCAAGTGACACCTGATATAAATTAACAGGAACTTACTAAACACAAAGTATCTAAATGAGATTTATATCCAAAACTGGTTATTTTGTGTTTATTAAAATAAGTATGAAAGTTCCAGGGGGGGTGGAATCAAGTGAGTATCCCTCTAATCCCAGGTCATATTTTTCCAATTCTTCTCAAGTTAACATTAATAAGATTAATAAAAATACAAAGGTAAATTCAAATCTTAAGAAAAATGTTGTTTTCCTCATACAGTTTAATCATTTAACTTACTACAAATTTTCCACATCAGTGAAATTCTGAATCACTAGAACCCAGTGGTTTTGTGCTTTGTAATGAATTAGGAAAATTTTTTTTTCTTTCATTAGTTATCCAGCTCAGATCTGCAAGACATAATAAAGAGGATAATGAATCAAAAGAGAAATACTGTCCTGAGAAAAATGAACCTGGAACAATCATCTCAATGGGTAACATTATTTTATGTTGCCTAATTCCTGAGTAACCAAGCATGAGCAGTGAGGGAGACAAGAGAAGCAGAGAAAAATGAAAGTATGTGGAGGCAGAGGATGAGGTTCTATTATACACGTAAAAAGCAAAGGAAGACCTCTCTGGGCAGGTGACAGCTAAACAATGAGGAAAGGCAAATGAGAAAAATGAGCTTATATAATCAATTCTGTTTCCCTTTGATTTTAAGTCTAACTTTTTCATCTTTACATATGATTTTTTTTCATATTTCTCTTGCTTTGGGTTTGTTGAGCTTCTTGAAAGTATAAATTTATGAATTTAAACAATCTGGGGAAATTGTAGCCATTACCATATTTTTGCCTTGTTTTCTCTCCCCTCTGGTTCTAGGATTTTAATTTCATGCATGTTAGATATTTTTATATTGTCCTGCAAATCTTTGAGGTTTTGTATACTTTTTCAGCTTCTTTTTTTTTTATATTGAACAATGTCAGTTCACTAACCAGGTTTTCTACTAATTCTCTGCTTTTAAGCTTACCCCATGAAGTTTTTATATCATATGTTGTGTTTTTCAATTCTAAATTGTATTTAGTTCTTTCTATACTCCATATTTCTTAGCTGACATATCCTATCTTTTCATTAATTAAAAGCATATTTTCTTTCACAACCTTGAGCATATTTATAGAAGTTGCTTTAAAATACTTGTCTGATAATTCTAACATCTGCGTGATTTTCCTGTTAGGCTTCATTGCTTCCCTTTCTCTTCAGAATTGGTCATATTTTCTTGGTTTTTCTTATGTCAAGTGGTTTGATGCTGTGCCCTGGACATTGTGAAAGTTAGTCTGAGAAGCCTATGAATTCTGATATATTTCTCCAAAAAGTGTTGATTTTTTTGTTTTAGCAGGTACTTGGTATAGTTGGACTCAAATTTAAATTTCTATCTTTCGGAGAGCAGCTCAAATCTCAATTCAATTCTTTGGTCCTTAGCTGTAATATAGCTTTCACACACAAAGACTTGGAAAAGCTTTACAGGCAGAAGTTGGTGAAAACCCCTTTCTGTTTTCTCTTTTATGGGATTCACTCTTCATTTCTAGCATCTATTGTTTCTCCAAACTCTATTCTCTAGTTATCCAGGCTAGAAACACTACAGATTGCCTATTCAAATTGTATTCATTCTACATGGCACCAACATTGTCTGTCTCAGGCTGAAAGTTGTAAAAATTGGCAACTTTTACCTTGCCATATCTTTCAAGTGTCAGCTCCAAAATCTGCTGCCTGTTTTTGTTCACTCTCCAATGGCTTGCATTTTGGGGGCTACCTATTACACAAATTTTTCTCAAGAAAGACTTTTCCAATGTGATATATAACTTCAAATTATCTGGTTCATCTGTGGACCACTAAATGAAATCTCTAATTTCTATTTTTTCTGTACAATTTTATTTCCCTGTGGCTTGGAAGCTTATTGTTTTTTTCCTAGTGTCTGGTGCATTGCCTACTCATAGAGAACATGATATATTTCTAAGAGAATGAATTAAATGGAGAAGAGAGGAAGAAAGAAAGAAAGAAAGAAAGAAAGAAAGAAAGAAAGAAAGAAAGAAAGAAAGAAAGAAAGAAAGAAAGAAAGAAAGAAAGAATATACACATGGTGGCACTTATGTATGATTATACAATACTAGGGCTACAATTCTAGGTTTTGGTTTTTTTTTTAAGATTTTATTGGGGAATCGAGGGAAGGGGAGCAGAAGAGTTGCTGTCGTTTTGTTCTTCAGTCTCGTTGTGGAGGACGTTGCTTCACTGGCCCAAGTTGGCACCATCATTGCGCTCTTCCCAGGCAAGGCAGATCAGTCACCGGCCTCTGGACTGCCGCTCTCAGCGGCTGCTGGCCGCTCACGCTGGCTGCCGGCTACACATGGTAGCCCATGGCAACCCACTGCAGCAGAGGCTGCAGCCTACGCCATTGCAGGTGACTCAGGGCAGCCCAGCTCCAGGTTGAGCTGTTGCTCAGCATTTTAGCTGTAGAGGGCAGTGTCACTGGCCCTCATATGTGGGATCTGAACCGGGGCGCTCTGGCATCCCAAGCCAGTTCTTAACCAATGTGCCACTCGGCAGGCCTTAAGTTTCTTTTAATTACTTAATTTAATTACTATTTTCTCCCAGGGTCTTCCAACTCTTCTACTGCTCATAAACCATGCCCCTCCAATGACTGGACGCTACATGGGGGGAAATGTTACTGGGTTGCTCAACGTAAGAAATCTTGGAATGAAAGTAAAAATGACTGTGCCATGAAAAATTCACATCTTATGGTGATTCAAGACTTCATTGATATGGTGAGATATAAAACAGAGATTATAGCATCCTTCACAATCACAATGCATTCCTTGTGCTACAAATTTGAAAATTTCTGTGGCATTTTTTTTGAAACCTCATTGCTATTAACTATAAAATATTGGTTGGGTGAATCACTGAACATGATTATTGTAGGCATCTTTTTGGCAAAGGATAAAAGGAATTTATTTGGAATTCTACACCTAAATCATTCTTTACAAAGGATTCCCCCCACTGCTTACCAGGTTCCATTTTAAAATGTGAGACATAAAATATCTTACCTTGTCTCCCACGTTTACTGCAATGTTCACAAAGGTGGCTGAAATTAAGGATGATGTTGGGAGAAAAGAAATATATTGATGGCATAGTTCTCATTAAGATTTCGTTCTTTGAGGAGAACTACTGTTTTACTAACTCTGGCTTAATTTAAATTTGAAGTTTTGCCACATGAAAGTTGGACACTAAATCTTGTATTTAATAAGTCTAATGTAGACATTAATTGGCAAACGTCAAATGAGGATTTTCAACATCAGTATTGGCATGTTGGAATCACGAGCCATATGTCAAAAGCTCAGTTTCTGACAAACCAATGAATAGTAGTGCTTTACAATCCTGGTTGAACAGCCCTCTGGGGGGAATATACAGGGTAGCCATTACAACTTCTAAGAAGAAAGAAACAACAAAACAAAACCAAACCTCCCAAGTTTCACAGAAATCCACAACAAGAAAAACAAAAAGAGATGTAAACTATCTTGTGTGTAATTAGTATAACCCCAAATACCAAATTGTGAGACTCTTTGTCAGATGCAGTTCAAACTGGTTCAAATAGGAACCAAATCTAGGATGGATTAAGAATTGAAAAGAGACCTTTTTTGTTCTTTTAGAGGTCAATTTTATTTATTTATTTATTTATTTATTTATTTATTTATTTATTAGCTGAGCCATCCTGCCACCTTTTGGCAGCTCAGTGGTAGCTCAGCTCGGGCAGGGACTTGAACTGCTGTTGCTCAGAGTTCACACTCTTGAGCAAGCTCTTAACCAGCTGAGCCACTGGGATGGCCCTCTTAGAGGTCAATTTTAAGACAAGACAAGGGAAGCAGGCTCTGAAATGAATTAACAATAAATCATCACATAGAGAAACTGTGCAATGAAAGACTTCACTAAGCACCTCACCTATTTCTTCCTCGCCATCAGAGGGAAGAATGCTGGAAATCGGAACAGATGTGTCTCTTGGACAACTAATAAACCAGGTTTTGGAGAACAGTAGACTGAGACAATGTATTTTCATGGGAACTTTTTTTTCTCCAGTTTCAGTTACACCTCTTTACAATATTCCTAAGCAAATGAATGGGTTAGACATAATTGTTCCCTTTCAAGGATAAATAAGAGTCTAATAGGAGTCAGCATAAGTCAGGACTTATGCATAAGGATCTCTATTCTAAACTTCTCCAAAAAAAGGACAAGTAAAAGGCAGATAAAATATGTATTACAGGTGAATAATTATTCCAAGAAACAAAATACATTTCAGGCAAATATTCCTCCAGTTCTCAAATAACTTAAAGATAAAATGACTCCAAAAAATGATGATTAGTCCTTCTAAAATACCTGTGTGTCCTCATGGGAAGAGTAAATGATGAATGAAAGGATACAGCCTTACCCTTACCCTTTACATGCTTGATTAGAATTTCAGTATCACTTCCATTCTCTCCCACTGGTCAGAAATTAGGTGAGCAGCATTGCCACACCTAGCCAAAAGAGAAGCTAGGGAGTGGAGCCTTTATTACATTTCCTCAGATACTTTGGCTCGGGGTTATATCACTGTAAAAAAGAGATACTAGGAAACTATGAACAATATTTACCATGTCAGATCAGATATTGCTTTTTTTCATTAATTTTTCTATATATTTTCTTGTTTTTACATATTATTTCATACCTGTATTTAGTAACCATCACCAACATTTACACAATGAATATTTATTATGTGCCAGACAGTGTTTAGTAATATTATTAAATAACAAAACAATAATAGCTCTTTGAGATAGATACTATTATACTCTGATTTTGAGATTGGAGTAAACAGAGGTGAGAAGAATTAATAACTGCAATGATGCACAGTAGTAAATAGTAGAGTTGGGTTCCTATTAGGCCATCTGATTCCACAGCCTTGGTATCTACCACTACTGTACATAATTCTGCTTTAGCAGTGCTCGCATTGCATTGCAGTAGCTTGAGCTTGAACTTCCACAATGATCTGTCAGAAAACATGAAGTGTCTTACTCACCAGTTCATTCCCAGCTTCTAGCGCAGTGTCATGTTCATAGAAAGTACACTCAAGATAGCTTTCTTGTATCAATAAGAATCAATCAGTTGTTTCATAAAACATTTCCTATTCCTTTTAGAGTTTCCTCTGGCAGCACCTACATTATTCAGCTTTTTATTGGATTGGCTTGAGCATTCCATCTGAAGGAATATCTTGGACCTGGGTGGACAACAGTTCTTTTAACCCCCATCTGTAAGTTTATTGTAGTTTAGCTTTCTTGTGGTTTTAATCCCATATTGTGTGACAACAAAGGACTGTCTAATATTCTTGGGCTTGAACTAAGGGCATAGGCATAAATTTCCCTAACTCATAATCGGATAAATATTCACAGAAAATGGTTCACACTGAGAGTTGAGACACAAAAGAAGTCTCACTCCATCCACTCAGAAGATTTATGTGTGAAATGGCATTTGCCTCTGCTACCTCATTATCATTTTTTGTGTTGGTGTCACTGTCTTTTTATTTTATTATTTAATTAAAGGGGAGAATTAGCAAATGTAATTTCTCTTATGAGAGTGCACGTTTCATTCACAAAATATAAATTCCTATGCATTTCTTACAGTGATTAATAATTGTTAAGTGAAAACAATCAAAGTTAATATTTTAGCATTATCCTTATGCATTTTAACTAATACTCATTAACTACTAACTTCTCTAGGGAGAGTTTTTGAGAAATAAAACTGAGGGTGGGAGAAATTACTTTACCTATCATATATCATTGTGTGTTGTTTAAATTGTTTTAATGATCATATTTTCATTAAAAAATATCAAATATTTTCTGAGGTCCTCTTTAGTCTCTGGACATATGCATAAGTTCCTGGCTGATGTAAAGATAATCATTTGCTTTCCTTCTATAGGTTTGCAACACAAGGAAACAAGCGATGGCCCCCGAGCATGAAATGTGCCCAGGTATCTCGGGCTGGCATGGCTCCAAAAAAATGTGAGGACAATAGACAGTGGATTTGTCAACTGTAATCTGCTCTGCATAAAATCAGTCTCCATTTCTCAAACTGAAAAACACCATATGAAGTTTGAGCTCAGATCATAGGGTAGTCCAGAGGGTCACTTGTGTCTTAGAGGGCTTCGTGTGTGTGTATGTGTGTGTCCATTTATGATTCTTATGTTTACAGTACCATTTCTCATAGGTGTGGGAAGGGAGCCAGAAAAAAAGAAATTTTTATATTCAATGAGCACATATGCTGAACACATTTTTTTCATCTGAATTATCAATGCAGTTATTTAATCACCAGTTTCATTTTGCCTGCATTTTTGGAATTTCAGTGTTACTCATCTCTACACCATCCCTCCACAGCATCCTTAGCTAATCTCTGACTTTCTCACAGTTTCAGTTACCATGTACAAGTCAATACATATCAAATTTCTATTTCTAGCCCAGATCACCAATCCCATATACCATACTCTATTTAATACATCAAATCTAAAACCTCAGATACTTCGAACTCGACATATAAAAAAAACTCATTAACATTCTTTTATTATTTTTAAGATTTTTATTAAAAATATAGCTAACGTGGGCCGGCCGAGTGGCTCAGTTGGTTAAGAGCTCGCTCAAGAGTTTGAGCTCTGAGCAACAGCGGTTCGAGTCCAGCCCGAGCTGAGCAGCC